TGTGTTTTTTTTTTCATCTCCTGTTCCCACTCACAACTGAAAACACTCTACCGAATGCTCTCCCTCCTTTTAAAGCAGTTTAATCAAACCCACCTCTGCAGAGGAGATCCTTTGCCTCTCCATTTGCTTTCCCATTGTGGTGAGGCCTCTTAAAGCCACCTACAACTATTAGAGGTGCAATATCCTCACCTTATCTGGGATGATGCCAGAGATGATGGATAAAATGGCTCTTTCATAGTCCTTAACTACTTTGTAAAAATACTCTAAAGCTTGGTGCATGCCATTTTGGCTACGCAATGGGATTACAGGGATTTTAAATGTAATAAGTGTGTGTTATTAAACAGATACCAACAGCTGGTAACAGCAGAACGCATTGCAAAAATTCCTGAGCTGCTGCCACTCACTGGCGTCACTGTGTTAGTTTTGCAATGTCTAAATGCTGCCCTGCAAATGTCCAATTTCCACTTCTAATTCTCATAAAACCCAAAGGAGAGGGCTAGAAGGAGTTCCCTTTCCCACTGTGTGCCAATAAGTCCAATACACTATCCCTCTTAGCACAGAGCAAGGAAAGGCAAAGGAAGACAGAAAGCCTTTTCTATGTTGAAAAGACAATAACCTCTTTTTCTTCATAGACACAGAGACCAGAATTGGTGGATAAATAATCAGGCTTGTTTTCTAACCCGTTTTCTGACTTCCAGCAGTATTTACTGACTGGAAAGGAAATCCACGTCTGACATTTCTCCATAGGCATTTCTGATACTGTGTGCACAAGGGAGAAGAGGGCTTGTGTTACGGAGGGCACGGACGGAATTGCTGGGCTTGGCCCTAGCCAACTCCCACTCAAATCACCGGTGTCCTCAGCCTCCTCCCGTGGGCTGTGGAGCAGGGTTGTAGTTAAACGCCTGACTATTCCTGGCACAGGGAGGGGCAGAGGCTGGCGTGAACCTGCCCAGTTCCCAACAAGTCCCCGAGGCCGCTCTTCAGCTGCCACGCACCCGGCGCCCTGGCACCTTCCAGCTCTCCCAGGCAAACGTAAAGGCAGCTCCCTAGGAGGGGTGAGGGATGGGGTCTCTCCTGGTCTAGCTGACCATGAAAGGGGGGGCGAGGGGCTGCGGCAATGGGCAAGCGGCTGGTTGCTGCAGCTGTGCACGTGAGAGATGGACGACTGGCTGAAATGACGTGCTTTGCCGTGCAGGACGGGAGGGGTCGTGCAATTCATCATGAAGCAGGTCTGGCCTCAGCAACCCTCCAGAAGCATGTCAATGGGAAAGGAATACTCAGGGATGCTCTTGTATCTGCAGCTGACACCACTGAGTGGAGAAAAAGAGATCTCTCCTGCCTCTAGACAAAAAGACAGAAGCAGAGTCTTCTTCAGGAGCAGAGAGGTGCGAGACAAGCCACTCTCCTCCAGCTGCGTGCTGCTTGTGGAGGTACACCTTCCTGCAAGAACGTGAAGAAGCAGGAAGCTTTATAGAAACACAACACAGGTTTCTGTTTTAATGAGAAAATAATTATATACTTGCATTGTAGGCCTCACAGTCACTATAAAACAGAAGCAAGATAACATTTAAGTGGTTAACATACAGAAAGCCAGGTATTGTTTAAACTGGTTGATAAGTCATGACAAGGATGCCGCCTTTTGGTTGCCAAACACGTCAATGCTACTGTATTTTCCTTCAGATAATGTCAGTATGGAGCACGATGAAGCCCAAACTGGCAGCTTTTAAAACGAGTTGTTCAGAAAACCTGCACTGTAACCCCAAACTGATTATAATCACAAATGCTAATGCTTAATTATTTCTCAATACACAGTTTCATTAAAACCAGTCTTCGCCACGGGAAAGGATCTGAGCGTTTCTTTTGTGGAGACAAAGTTAACTCTGCAATAGTGCTCTTTTGTTGCATTTGATATAGTAATATATAGATAGATATGTATTACTGGCGTATACTTATAAACACCTAAGCTGGGTAGCATGCAAATGAAATAACAGAGGCAAGTAAATTGCATCGCACTCGTGTTAGCACAGCACTGAATGTGTGCTGCTGACTACGAGTGTCCATAATTTCTGGAAGAGAAAAACTTTGCTGGGTGGAAAGTTTGGCTGTCCTGCACTGATACATGCAAATACTTTCGTTGCAGGAGCTGAAAGTGAATGCTTTTAGCGCAGAGGACTCCTGCCTGGCCCCTCTCCACCAGCACATCCCCTTTCTAGGGGAACAGTTTAATTTTCACTTCAAAGACTGAGGGCTGATTGTGGCGGTAGGGGAGGATGTGGCAAAGCATGAAGAGATATCTCATGATGGGTGATCAATGTCATTGGCTTCCAGTGAGAGAGCAGGAAGAAAAAACAGGCCTCCAGGTTAAAGAAAATAAAAATGCAGGTTCCTGGGTAGGCAGCCCAGGGCTGCCCCGGTTTCAGGAGCAAATATTGGGGGAAGACCACCTCACTGTAAGTACAAGGGCCGTCTCCTCTGCTCAGGAAACCCCTTTTTCCCAATCTCACTTACGCTCTCCCCAAGGGTGGAGGGAGCCAGGACTCCTCTTGGTACAGATGCACAGAGCTCATGGATGTGGCTACATGATGCACGGTCTCACCAGAGTGCTGCATTGGTGGCGTTGCTTTTCCTACAGCCTTATGGTAACGACCGGCCTGCAGACGTGAATCACAGCTCACTGTCGGTTGCCACGTCTGAACAACGGGTCCACTTCATTAGGTATATAATTCCTTCATAGGCATGGTGCCTCCCCATGCACCTGGGTTTGGAGAGCATCCTTGAGATAAGCTCGCTGCCCTTATCA